CAAGTGCAGCCTTTGCTGGATAGTAGCTGCAGAAGAACCAGCAGAATTTGGTAATTTCTGGTGTCGTACACATTTTGGTACGACTGACCCGAAGAGGTTCCTTCTATATTTACAAAATCGTCGATTTGATACTTTTCGCGATAACGTTACTCCATCTATTTCTTGTCCTCACTGAAGTAGTAGTCACCCACATGACCGCTGGGTCGTAGCAATTTTTTGCTCCCCCCCCCCCCCCCCCCCCGCCCTCCACATACACACACACACACACACACACACACACACACACACACACACCGACGTTTCGCTTCTGAATGCCTGCTCCCTACGTGGGAGCTTGCGCTATTCCTGCCGACTTGAATTCTCACTTGACTGACTCACGAGTCACGACTGCCATCCAGAGCACACGAGAAGTCCATCGAACCTTCCACTCTGCAAACCTGCAAGAAAGCACCACTCCCTGCTCAATACACAGTGTTTCGGGGAATTCACCCCTCATCAGTTGAGGTTGAGTAGGCTGAGGAAGATTGTGCCTGAAGAGCACCACTTATAAGTTATAATTATAGTGCTGTCCAGCTTGCAGGTTTCCGAGTGGAAGGTTCGATGGACTTCTCGTGTGCTCTGGATGGCAGTCGTGAGTCAGTCAAGTGAGAATTCAAGTCGGCAGGAATAGCGCAAGCTCCCACGTAGGGAGCAACACACAATTGGTTTGTTCCAGAGTAAATAATACTATGTATTCTTGGTATGACATTTGGGTAATTCAGTTCGTCGGATCTACATGTATAGCAATCTGGAGGGCCGAAAAACGAAAGAAAATACAACTTTAATTTTGGTATTACCTGTTGGCGAACTCGGATGGTGAGCCAATTTAATTTTGGTAAAAAAGGAGGTGGACAAAATGTTACGAGTTATGTTTTGTGCCACAATGTCGCACTCTATGACTCTATGATCTGGTTACGTCGGTGGACAGTTAGTCATAACTTGTAACAGTTTGTCCTTCTCCTTTTTTCAATACCATAATTACCTTAATTAAATTACCATTTTTCCGCGGAATCTTTGTACCGCGGAAAAATTCCACATCCTGACTACACCCAAGAAGCTCCTACTCAACAAGCGGTCTGAGATGGTCTCGAAATGCAGGCACGAGAATAAGTTCCGCCTCGCAAATTTCACACCTATCAAATGAACTGACCAAGTACTGTACTGCACTTTGCCTGAGCACCCATTATTATTAATAACAAAATCCCTTGGCCTGTAGTCGGCGATGCCACTCTGCTCACGCCTGCCCGTCACCAAACGACTCCCTACTTGTAGCGATCTCACTGGCCCATTGCCCGCCACCCTCCTGGCACCTCCACCCATCTGCTGTGCACTGCCTCCCCATCGCCTCTTTCCGCGCTTTCATGCTCACACCTGCCTGTTGCCCGCCACCATCCTGGCACTTCCCCTGTCGCGCCTTGGCCCGCGCCCGCTTTCTCCCCATACCTCACACCAGATTTAGCGCTAAATTTGTTTATGCTTGTGGCTCTATGTTTATAAGCATACTGTTGGGTAGACCCGAGTATCAGTTGTCTGATGATTGCCTAGCGGCATGAAACTCAGAGTTACAACCAACCTGAACGTCCTCCGCAGAGTCTGCTATGTATGTACTCTTATGTGCTTGGTTTGGCGGTGAAGTGGAACGGTCCACGACCAGTACATCCTCCGAACATTCCTCTTCAGGTATACTAGTAACACCTAGTCTGTAATACATGTACACAGTGTTTTCCGTGACCTCTCTGCCTACTGTACAGAGTGCTGAGAGAGCACGAAAAGAGATAACGTCCAAGAGGACGAATTAATTATTTATTCTGAGTGGCTCTCGTCTCCCAGTCTACCCCTCTCAAATCGAGTGCACGCACGCAACACCAAGACGCACATTATACATTGTACAATCATGTGCATGTAGCAAACAGGACTACATAATTGTACATAATGCATTATTGTGTAATATGAACAGCCTGTACATGTACATGTACTTGACAAGCATGATACCGACCAGTTGCCAGTTGTTGCCAACTCCCTGGTTGTTACTTAAACAGTGCTTACGCCAGCTGACACTTGAACGCGATTATTTCCAAGCATCGATCACAGGAGGTACATGTATGGCCAAGAATACATAACCCGGGTTATGTTTTCTTGGTATGACAGATAATAAAAAAATGTGCGGGTTCGTGGACAGGGCGGGTCAAGAAACATCTTTCCGCTTCCGTGGGACGCCACCAGCCCATGACCAGGCGTCAGATGCGCCTCCTAAACGGTAGGGTAGGATAGATCAGATCCGCCAACCAGAGGCCAAGGCCGAAATCTCATTTGCCACATCCCTGACATCCATGACAGTTAGTAGATCATAGGCGAATTACCAGCAGGGAACACGTGACCCCCAGCCCGCGAGAAATTCGACTGGGTGGGGGGGGGGTAAAAGAAGCAGCCCAGAGATCTCGAGAAAGAAAGTCCATTTTGCGCTTTGCAGCTGCGCTGACACATGTACAAGGTAAGTAGCTTGTGCTGCCAGTCGGACGAGGTGCTGGTGATGTAAAACTGATTGAGTTTGTCTGCAATCTCTACAGTCATGCACTTGAGACGGTATGCTAGACAAACATGTACATGTACATGTACATGTACATGTACATGTACAAACTACGATCAGGAGTAGTACACTGTACAGTCATAATCTCCAGGGGGGTTACACTAGATATACTGTACATGTACACCGTTATGTACTCTAGATACAATTCACTCAGTCACCCTGCTGCATTACACCGCCGCCAGTACAGTATACTCGCTTACCATTATCAGTCGGGCCTGACACATGCGAAACTTCCTAAGCTGGTCGTGTTCTTCAACACAAGAATACAACCGGTGGTAACGCGAACGTGTGAACTTTACTTGTGTTCTCATTGGTCAACATGCGAAGACTCCACTGTCCAGTCAACTTCGCTAATAACGACTGCGGATAACACGACAATTCGCGAATAACGACATAATTTTCATGCCCAGAGCAAAGTCCCATCCAACTGTGACACATAATTATTATAATGAGACTTCGGGTATAACGACACTTCGCGAATAAGGACACTTTTCTGATGCCCCGCCGAGTGTCGCGAAGTTGACTGTACATGTAGCTATCCAGTATATCCATACATCCTCACAATACTGTCCAAACTGAAGATGGGCCTTACCCGAACATTCGCATGATCATCAGATTCTCTTTCTTGCAGTGATTGATCATGTAGCCCAGAGACCGTTTGGAGAGCGCTGTGAAGATTTATGGCCAGTATCGTTGCGTACAACATAATTGGGTATACCGACGCTCGGTCACACTGTAGCTTCAATACAGTCGATCAGAAGCTGCGCGTCGCGTCAACGTTTCAGTCACATGACCATCTTCATTCTGTTATGTACTTAGAATACCTAGTACGACTCGTAGGCTAGTACATGACGTCATGTACATGTACATGTACATTGTATCTTCGGAACGCCATAACGCTTTTGGTTAATTAATTTAAAACTAATTTTCTGTCCATTCATGGCATCCTGGATCCTGTAGTTAAGTACCCAATGCATTATGGTCATTGAAGTAACTTTGTAGCACGTTCCCGACACGTGTCATATGCGTACAGGATGCAGAATGGCTAAGGTCAGCAAGGAGATGAAGAGTTTGTTAAAAGCGCTCTCCACGCTCCAGCACTTTTGTCGCATGTACCGACACCGCAGGTGATACTGCAAAGTGCTGGCGTGTGCGTGTTCGTGAAACATTGAAAGTGGCTTTCCGGGAGAGTAGAGGTAAGTTGAGAAGGATGGCGAGACCCGAACCGATCTAGTCGTGACATGATGTGGGAATGTACAATTACAAGTAGTCCCAGTTGACACAAACACACACGCACACAGTACCCCATGTACCACACACACACACACGCGCGCGCGCGAGCACGAGCATACACACCGTGGATATAGAACAGCAGACATGTTCTGCAGACAATGGTCACAACCTAATTGTATCCATTCTATGCGTTTGAAAGTTTCATCTGCACACTCCTCGACACAAACTTTTTATTACAATCAGCAAAATGTGAGAACAACAATGGACAAAGAACTCAGCGGATTCAAATGTAATCGGGGCTTGTTGTTATGACAACACACTGCTGGTACTACTGCTACCGGTAGTGCTCATCCGACAATCAGACAATACAGGATACCACCCTGAGCCTGGAAATATTGAACCAAGAGTACTCTTGATTGAACTGATTCATATCATGTATACGAGAGATATCGTGTCTTAGAATTCATCATTCAGAGCATTCTTTCCAAAACTGAAGGTGGCTTCATGATTTGAAGTGCTCATTTTCTTCGGCACTTTGGACATTGAAGTCTGAAGCCATCAAACAAACCGGTCTGTTGTTCCTCACCGTAAGTTGTTGTAGTAAGTAGATAGCGACATCATGTCTGTTCGTGGTCCAATTCCTACCGCTTTACCTTGTAGCCATGTGTTGGCTTGTTCGTGGCATAACTTAACCGTATAACGCCTAGAGGGCGGGTATATCCGCCTGACTGTACCGCGAGTGCATGCTGAGGTGACTTCAAACTTTGGCTTAAACATGATGGTGGCATGGGACTGCTGCGTGATGCGTGCTGCGTGCCACGTCAATTAAGACTTCCCGGATGGGCCACTGGGGGACACCCTGCCTATGCCAACAGGCAATGCTACCTTTTAGAGATGTAGACAGCCCATGATCCTGACTCATGATGTCACTCAGTACAGAGTCTAGAGTGATGAACTGTTACTTGCGCAAGAGAACCCGCCGCTCGCATGAAGTAGACCAACACCACGTACTCCGCACACACGGTGCACGAGGAAAACAGCTGGCAGAGCTTAGCTAAACCCAACCTTATGACCAAGTTTTTCTTGCAGGGCTGAAGACTTGCATAAAAGCAACATCGCTCTCAGCACCAACCTCTAATCGCCATGTGTAGAGAGAGTTGTTACTCTTTGTGAAAGAAGGTAGAGGAAAGTGAAGCTTCTACTTGTGCTGTTGACGCTAAGCGGGTATAACCGCAGAGGTGGCGGCTACTTCTGATTCTACTCTAGATCGGTGTACTCACACCAAGTGATGACCACAACAGTTACGACTGCAGGACACCTTGAAAGCGTGTAATTAATATTATTATATGAATTGCAGGATCTCAGGCAGGCCGGTGCTGTCTTCAGCACACAGTCGTACTTGGTATCTCTATTCATTATCACGTGGAGCGCTACAAACTCGTACCTGCGCTGAAGGAAACCTGTCGTAGCTCCTTGATCCGCTATAGTCGTTGCCTCACCTCCCAGACCAGTACATTGTATCTCCAATTGACTGAGCTATCTGCGACTTGAGAAATCCACGAGCAGTCTCGAGTGACGTGGCCTTCCCCCGACAAGAAAGTTAGTGTGATTAGCGTGTGTTTATCAGTAATCCGTAAGCAATGGCGGCACTTGCACAGCTTGGTCGCGAGGATCTCCTCAAGTTCGATGAGAGTACGGACGCTGTCAACAGCAATGACCTGCAACTAGCCATAGAGCGTCTGTGTGACATGTACGAAACGCCTGCTCCCATCGTGTTCAACAAAGCTATGATACTGGCTGCTGCTTGTAACTTCAACGAGGCTTATTTGGTGAGTAACACCGTGTTATCAAGAGTAAAAACCTTATACTCTTTGTATTTGATGATGGCGATTGTGATGATGTGTTTAAAGAATTTCACCTACTTGTACAAGTAGGTGATATTATCTTTGCGGTTTGCTTCATAGCTGTAGTGTTTAGGCACCCAGGATGGCAGAGGTCGTATCTGTTCACGGGGGAGACAGATGAATCCCGGGACATACCACCCTGGGGCCTAATAAATTACAACTCCGAGGAGAGGGCAACTTTGTCTAATTGTTGTTGTTTATTTTAGAGCAAAGAGGAAGAAATGTGTCATGCGCATGCGTATATCTGGTGAGGGAGCTGACGTCATGCAGCGAGGTCGCTACAGTACTCCCCCACCAGAGAACAAGCGGAGCGCAGAGAACGACAGAGAAAAAACAAGGAAATAGCAAGAGCGCTGCATGTGGCGTACCCAATGTTTGTTAACGAGGCTAACAAAGGCCGAAACAGAGGGAAAAATGCAGGAAGCGAAAAGAGATGCGTGACAGAGGCGGGTTAACATGTCAGAGGTGGATTAACGTGACAGAGGTGGAGAGCATGTCAGAGGCAGAAAGAGAGAGAGAGAAAAAAAACTGTATACATGCTGTGAAGGCAGAGGCAAAGACGCGCAGTAATAAGTTGCGGGAAAACTTGCCGATGAACAGCCCATGTAGCCGTGTATCAATGTGGCGAGGCGGCGACTGGGTAGTCGGCAGCCGATCCAGGTACGGAACATGTCAGCAATACAAGTTTGTAGTAGGTAGCAGCAGTGCTGGCTCCACGACTGGGGAGGCTTTGCGGGTGGGAGGGGGCCAAGCTCCAGCTTGTGGCCGGCGCACACTGGACGGTGGTTGGAGGGTGGTTGCTCCACAGCTGCTCCAGGTCCAGGCGGTGAGGTGCGGATGTTGAGGCTCAAGTTTAATGTCAACAGCCGGTGATTGACAGGCAGCCAGAATGCGGTGCACGCAGGAACGGACTGCGGCGAAAACCAGTGATGGCTGGCAGGCTGACGGGCGGAAGCAGCATGACGACGGATGGCGGCGGCAGGAGGGCGTAGTCCGCAGCAGCTCCAGGTGTGCCGAGGGCGGGTGGGCGGCGAGAGGCACCACAAATTCCCAAATCCGGAAAGTCAAATCTACTGTATACAAATACTCCGCGAGCGCAGCGTCAGGGGTCACCAATTTAGGCACCCAGGATGGCAGAGGTCGTATCTGTTCACGGGGGAGACAGATGAATCCCGGGACATACCACCCTGGGGCCTAATAAATTACAACTCCGAGGAGAGGGCAACTTTGTCTAATTGTTGTTGTTTATTTTAGAGCAAAGAGGAAGAAATGTGTCATGCGCATGCGTATATCTGGTGAGGGAGCTGACGTCATGCAGCGAGGTCGCTACAAGTGCTCCGGGATGTCCAATGATGCCGTTGAAGTAAATACATGTACAATAGCCGCGGGCTCTAGCCTTGTACAATCAGGTTTGCCATGATCTGGCCACGACAGTACACGTACATGTAGATCTACTCTCTATGAACGTATGAAGTCAGTCGTGAACAAAGAAATCCAGCCCGTCAGTCAAGAGCAGCGCCGCGTTTCTGCTTTATTCACGGTCCGAAATCCCGTACGAGGGAAGCAGGGTCGGCATGAGCCTTGGTACTGCTGACTGCTGTCCGCTGTCCGGCACTCAGGCGTCGGATTTCTTTTGGCCACAACTGACTGTACAGACTACAGCCTAGTAATAGTACAGATACACTAGCTACCGCCTACCCGTAACCATGGTAACCGGTAACGTACTGCAAGGTTGCTGCTGAAGTGGCCGATACAGTGAACCAGGTGGTCTCCTTATCCAGGGTCATTTGACTGGAACAGCATCCCTTGGTCCTGGTTGAAGTGGTCTTCTAGGACAGGTGGTCGCCTTATCCGAGTGGTCGCCTTGACAGGTTTTACTGTAATCATTGCACATGACTGCAGTCTAAAGATGTATTGTTCAACATGTTGCGAACCCTCAACAAATGTGGCCATATCAGGGAGGGTAACGTCAGACTGATAGCGATTCACAACGCTGACACGACTAAGGGTAAAATAGGAGTACATGTCCAAAGACAGGACGCCGCGCTATGTACACTGGCAGTGCACTAGTGAAGGGGGCACGCACTCAGGGCGTGGATGGCATTCATCGAGAAGTTAGTTTGTAGAGTATGCAAGTCGCTCATTACGCACGGTGGATGTCTGTTGCATTTCCTCCTTTCGAGCACTTGTTGTGATTTGGACTTGAGACATGAGTGGCTGTTTAATTGGAGTTGACTTGATTGGAGCTCGCTTCATCATTCGCTGTCCCTGGCCTGGGCCTGTGGCAGATTTATCAGTGGGGCGGCTGTGGTCTGAGGAAAGGCCTGAAACTAAAAGTCTGAATCGTCGATAGCCACGGTGTGCAGTGAAGAGAGAGAGATGAACTACTGAGTTCTCTAGTCTGCCGTGCAGCAGTGTTGTTGGATTTCAGCTACATGTACAACCTATCACATTGACAGGAACAGTGTGGAATCCCAGAAGCCAGTGGCGATGACAGCGGACACCAGAGCTGCCTGCAAGCAGCCAGAAATCGGTAGCAAATACGCAAAGTCGTGTATCGAAAATGACTGTGCTCTGCTGCATGGTGATCACTAACCAGAGTAATCCGCTACATTGCTACATTGTACATGTACATGTACATGCTAGCACTTTCCCGTCTGCATACATGCAAATCTACTCCAGGTTGATAATTATGAGAAAGTTTAATCTGCAGTCATATACATAATACATAATACTAGTACAAGTACACAGAAGAGGTTCTTAGTTTGCAGCGAGTTACAGTCCTTGACATGTTGGTAATAATTATTCTTTGTGTGGCATTTGCTACTCTTGACTTTTTCCTGTTCAGCTGTTGACGGAAGCACTGAGCCAGGATGCATACCTGGTCGTGGCTAGGTTTCAGCGGGGTCTTGTGGCACACAGGCTGCAAAGGTATGAGGTGAATTTCAGCTGATTTCGCATGCCCAGCGGCATGTGAGTATATAATTATCTGGGGAGGGGAGGGGAGGGGAGGGGATACCAGCAGGAAGAAAGGTAAACTTATTGAAAAGATTTGTCATGGACCACTGCACCATAACTGCGCTCTCCAGCTGAACTCGTGCCGCTTTGCCTGTGGTGTGCTGTGGGAATGTCGTGTCGAGTTCGGCTGGAGAGCACAGTTATGGTGTGGTGTGGTAGCTGGTGAATAATCCTTACAGGGCCAAATGCTGCTGCTTTCCCTTTATTTAAACTTACTGTATGGCATGGTTTGTTTGATTTCACTTCTTGACAACAACTTGAGGTCCTATCAAAACATGCTGTATTAGAATCATGTGTTCTTCCCTTGCAGTTCATTATTTCCAAGAAAGAAAGCATCTCTGTTGCGCAACACCCCTTGCAAACACTGTACACAGTACATGTAGTATGAATGACCGCACTGTTGAATATAAAAAAAGCAACAGCCTACCGTAAAAGCCATTATTCTAACGAGGCGCATATATAACGATTTCCCAAAATCGACTGGTTTACGTGTACCAAAGGTGACGATTCTCACCCATTCTCAACGCTCAATTGAACAGTACACTTGTCGATTTCTGTATAACGATTTCTATTTCAACAACAGATTTCTCCTCGCTAACTCGTTAGAGTTAGCACTTCGCTATATATACACGTATGGCTTTTACACAGTATTAACTTGAGTGCACTCGTGATGGCATTCACAAAACAATGCCAATAGGAATGCCTTCTCAAGGTTAGCACTTCCCACTCCACTATCCCGCACTGCGCATAAGTCAAGGTCTCTCTATAAGTGATTGCAAACCGGTTACCCACGCAGATTGTCAACATCAACCCCCAGACAGCTGAATAGTTGAGTGTGGTGGCCGGTTGATCGGTGGAATGAGTTCTCCAATGAGTAGATGACTTGTATGCATTCCTAAAATTGCCCTGTACCAAACCACCTCTTAAGGTAACTGTTAACAAGAAGTCGTGGCATAAACCCCAGTGACATTCTTAGAAGTTTCCGTATATTATGTAGGATGGGTACTATAGCAGACACAGCGGAAGACGTCACGTTAGTTGTAACTTGTAACTCTCAGTTTCATCCTGCTGGGCAATCAGCAGGCAACTGTTTTTATCAGGTCATCACCAGTTGTCGGATGACAAACTAGCCGCCTGCAACTCAGAGTTACAACATTAATGTCCTCCGCCGAGTCCGTTATGTTCTAAACTCTGTCTTTGACATAATTATAGCACTCTCTGCAGCTCGGGATCAAGGGATTTGTAGGTTGGGCATTATGTTAAGTGCACAGGTGGCTGATATGACCAATGGACGTGTCCATTGACTGAAAAGTTACTATCTGAAAGTGGGTCCTCTGAAACGTCACAGCATCTCACAATAGATGACACGGTGACAGCGCCGATGATGAGTTCCCGGCCACAAAGCAGTGAGGTTGCATGCCACTAGCAGGCAATACCTATCATGACCCATGGACTGTATCTATCATTACCCATGGACTGTACCATTACAAACACTGATGTAATGACACAGATTCCATGGTCCATACCTCAGCCTGAGTGGTGGCAGCTGAGTGCTGAAAATCAAGTAACGCAGAATCCGGAGTGATTAAGACTTTCCCTCTGCATGTCTAATAGCATCAGATTTCAATGCAGGGGATTTAATGTGCTAGGCAGCACAAATTGTTTGATATACCATAATGTATGTCCATGTGCTTGTGTGTGTCGGATGTCGGAAGGCTACCTTCTTGCCAAAGCATTTGGAAGTTGGACTAGTTTCGGCTCCACAATCCAGTGTGTCGTTACTATAAGGCCATCATTTTTTATATCTATGTTTCGCGTCGTCTGCACGCATACGTTTTGATTTTTTTCGGAAAAAAATCAAAAAATCAACCATGCACAGTTAGTGTACGATCGTGCGAGTCATCATTGTTAACTGGTTGCATACGGCGAAGCTGGGATTCAGAAATGGCCTCGAGGCCGGCCACCAGCGTTGGTAAATCGTTTGTTCGGCATCTGCGACCAGTATTCTATGAGCTTACAACATTAATATTACAACAGACCGCATCGATCGCCTCAAGCTGAGAGGATGCGTCGTTCCGGAGCTCTTTGCACCGCTGCTGAAGGCTGAGTACAATAATCCAGAGAAGCAAGGGCACCAACGGTTGCCTCCTCTGTCCAAAGTGATGCAGATTTTGTGCTTCGATGTTCGATTTTTCTTTCGGATGTACACCATGCACGAGCTATTGTGCTGTGTACAGTTCTATACACCTCTGATGAGCCTTTTTATTATTTTGCAACTTTTTATTTTTTTCCACCTCTCGCATATGATTCTGGAAGTTGAACTGACGCGAAACATAGATATAAAAAATGATGGCCTAATAGCTTTCATGGCTGAGGTTGTTGGTATGTCTGTTGACTCTGGGTTCCCAGTACTCAGTAGCCGAGGCTGGTTGGTAAAGTAACTCCAATTTCACTTCAAGGTACCAGTGCATCTAGTGTCTGCTTCTATCAAAGCAGCATGCTGTCTATACTGGTTACCCCAGCAAGTGTAGGGTGTGCATAGGTAACTGTCTTGGCCGTTTTATGCCGATGTACTCCGTGTGGTGTAGACCAGGTGTGCATTGGTGGTCGATTCACATGGCTTCGCCAGTTGTGTGGATTAGACAGTTATCTGGGGCTAGTCTTGATCTGTCTCATTCAGATCTTGTTCGCTATTGTTGCTATAAGAGAAAATCTGTGGGTGCACATCCAGTGCATTTGCAGATTTGCGTGCTTCTCTTGCGACGGGTGTAAACATGGTACATGGTGTGTGTGTGTGTGTGTGTGTGTGTGTGTGTGTGTGTGTGTGTGTGCTTGTGCATGTGTTTGTGTGTGTGTGTGTGTACGTGTGTGTATGTGCATGTGTGCACTCGTGTGTGTGTGTGTGCTTGTGCGCGTGGTCATGCGTACATGAATCACTGACTTCTGATCCCTCAGAAACGAGCAGGCTATGCAGGACTTTCAGAAGTGTCTGCAGCTGATGCGTGGTCTGTATATCAATTACTCCACACTCGGACTGGACTTTGTGCTATGCCGACATCATGTTGAGTTTAACCTGGCAGCCGTCCAGCAACTGCTGGGTCTTCAGCAGATGGCACGGGACATGTACAAGACGGCTCTCGCAACGAAAGCAAGCATGGAGAAGGAGTCAAAGGAACGCACCGATGCCGACATTCACATAGCTAAACACAGTGCCACACTCGACCAGCTGCAAGTGAGTGGAAATGATAATTGTCTTCTTTTTAGCATCCCCTTCTATGCACTCTGTCTCTCTTTCTGTATGCCAGTCTGTCCCTACATCACATCTATCCTTTTCTCTGTTGCTCTCAATCTACTTATCGTGTTTTCCCGATTATAAGTAGCACCTTGTTACATTAAAAAACAAGGGTAAAATTGGGGGTAAAATTGGGGGTAAAATTGGGGGTAAAATTGGGGGTAAAATTGGGGGTAAAATTGGGGGTACGTCTTACAGTCGAGCATGACTTACTACTGAAGTGAATATGTCGAAAAATATGGCTCAAACCTGAAAATGGGGGTGCGACTTATAATCGGGGAAATGCGGTATCTCTCAAAGAGAAAGAGGGCCAGTTTGGATTCGTCGCAGTAACTCAAAGATTCATGCTACTGCAATCATCAGACGACTGATACTAAAACCCGAGACTAATCATCATGGATATGATCATGCGTGATACTTGGTGCTTAAATTGACATATTCAACATTGCTCTACGCGATTCACGAAGAAAGGCCAGTATCACACAGATGGTATGGATGATGTGAGGGATAAGGTAAACTTTGAGTTACGACGAATCCAAACTGGCCCTCTTTCTCGTTTGAAGCGCTCTGCATTTTGTGCGTCGAGCACTTTCCGGCAGAACTCCTTTGTACTTATCTCCGACCTACCTTTCTATCAAGCTACCTCTCTTTCTTCCTCCCTCCCTCCCTCCCAGTCACAGTCTTGGTTTGGAATTGCTCTGTCACTACTTGGATTGCGAAGAGAGCTGGATAAAGGACTTGTTTTCCTTCTTCTTCTTTTTTTGATCATATCACCAATATACTGAGTATGAAGAGCGATGGCGCAAAAAGCCTCATCTGAATTGCGAGTGGGTTCTGTACTATTCACTGGTTTGAGAGAAAGACACAAACGGGAAAAGTCTGAAGAAAAAGAGTGACTGTCACCATCAGGACTCGAACCAGGTTCTGTACTACGTGTGTGTTTTGTCTTTCTCCAACAAAATTACGTTCCAGTCATTCGCAAAGTAGATATAGTCATGTACCCGGCCGGCAAAAGTCAACTTGCTGTAATGCATTTTTTAATTTTTATTCTTATTTACTAGGGAATTCCCAACAAACGTCATCACCTTTTTACAGGGAACCCTAAGAAAGTCTTGATGGATGATCGAAATTCAGGAGGTGAAGAGGAGAAGAGTAATGCATTTTATATACTGACAGTTAACTAAATGCGCACTCATATCACAACCATGGGGACGAATAATGTATTCCAGAACGTTTTCTTGTCACAATTATCAATGGAATTCGTGACTAAAGAGAATGATGAAACTACAATAGGATTTATACACTTGGAGTGAAACAGCGAGGATACAAGCATAGTAAGAAAAATAGCACAAACCTAGGAACAATTTGCACAGGTAATAAACTATAGGTGAGGTGAGAAATGATAGGAAATTCAGCAAGTGCAGTGTGACAATGGACATGCATGTGCAAGTGTGTGTGAGTGCGAATTTACTGGAATAGCGTAAGTGCGGTGACATTTTCTTTTTGTTTACAAAGATTTGGATCACGAATGCGAATGTAGACTGCTTCTAGAACTTTCAACTGCTTGAAACTACTTGCAGAACGAACAACACTGAACCAAGAATCATCATAACTTTCACGACACACGGGGTTAGACAACAGATATTATGTTGTTCTTTTCTTATTGTCCGCAAACTCCAACGCAGCTACTTACACATTCAGCAAACTTCACTTCTCAACTCCAACAAACGGTCTCTTCACTGCGATTCAAACCAAAAATAAAATTAACATTACACGACATGTTGTTCATCTTCTGCAGATCTCACTCCCAGCCCTAACTGACCTTACGGTGGAGCCATGCCGAATGTCACACAACGTCGGTACATGTCCGCTCATCAAGGTTCCCAGACTGACTATATACAAACCGCATGGTCTGGTGTCGGATATACTCAACAGGAAGCGCAGTTCAATTACTTTGGATAAAGCAACAGTGAGTTTGGAACAATGTAGTTGGCAGCTTTCTCTTTCTCTCTCTCTCTCTCTCTCCCTCTCTCTCTCTCTCTCTCTCTCTTTCTCTCTCTCTCTCTCTCTCTCTCTCTCTCTCTTTCTCTCTCTCTCTCTCTCTCTCTCTCTCTCTCTCTCTCTTTCTCTCTCTCTCTCTCTCTCTCTCTCTCTCTCTCTCTCTCTCCCCCTCTCTCTCTCTCTCTCTCTCTCTCTCTCTCTCTCTCTCTCTCTCTCTCTCTCTCTCTCTCTCTCTCTCTCTCTCTCTCTCTCTCTCTCTCGCTCGCTCGCTCGCTCGCTCTCTCTCTCTCTCTCTCTCTCTCTCTCTCTCTCTCTATTTCTCTATCTCTTTCTCACTTACTCACTCACTCACTCACTCTCTCTCTTTCGCTGTCTCTATGTGTCTGTTTCAGTGTCAGTTTCTGTTAGGCTCTCTCTTTCTCTTTTTCTGCCTTGTACTTGTGCTTGATCACAGCCAGAAGCTGGTTATGTTGGTCAGCAAGAGAAATGGAGAGGACGCAAAAGTGAATCCCCCCTTCCCCCCCCCCCCGCCCTTCTGCCTTCATACGGAAAAATCACATTGAAAGATTCGATTCTCTCAGCAACTTTACCTATGCTTGCGCTGGCATTCTCGACTTGTCTCCGTGGCGCAATCGGTTAGCGCGTTCGGCTGTTAACCGAAAGGTTGGTGGTTCAAGCCCACCCGGGGACGGGCATATTATTTTTTTGTCTTTCTATCTAGCTTTTTTCGGAAAAGAAAAGGAAGTGAACCTTAGGAATAGGCTAGTAACAACAGAGTGAGAACTGATCCCATTTTTTCTCAGTTGTGCGGCATTTCACGTGCCACCAGAAGGTACAGCCAAGAAAATTTGTACTTTCTGGTCTGGGCTCTCCACTGGATCATTTCACTTCTACTGTTTCCGAAATATTTTATAAATGTTCGTGTGTTTTTTCAGCTGGAGTGACTGTTCCGCATCTGTAGGGAGGTCGCCATCCCCAAGTAACATGCTGCTAGATGTTTGCTCCATGCACCGTGAACCAAACCATGCAAAATGTGATGTTTGCGAATGATTTTAGGACCGGCGTTCGTACTAACCGGGTTTCATGTTGTGCTTGTGCAGCTACTGTATGGCCGCCCGGGACATCATCATGAAGTGGGGTTCGAGGGCAGAATCGTAAGTTCCTCGTAGTGCATGTACATGTACGTCACATTCAGTACCGCTCACGGTGCATGTGGCCGACAACTGGAAAGAAATGCGGGATAGGGGTTTTGTGTGATGTCAGAGATGACGAGTGTATATTACCTGTTTAGATTTGTGTTGGGTTTCAGTTCCCGTTATGGCAACACAGGATTGAGTCGTTTTCTTCAGATTCTTGGCGTTTTGATCAATTCTTTTTGTATTGAGATAATGTGTTACACCGATAATTCTCGTTTTTTTACTGTGCTGACATACAGCGCAAGTATACATACCAACATAGCAGCAATTGAGCTATACGAGTGGATATATCTTGACCATGATTTTGCATTATCTCGGCTAAACGAGTAAAGTACAGATTTTACAGCCCAGGGAGGTGTGTGATACTGACATTTCATTGTCTTCCACCGTGTGTTGACATACAGCGCAGGGATAGCCTCCAACCAATGTTTGTCAACACCAAGCAAAGCCGCGCCCGTCACCGCCGTCCTTCCAAGGCCATGGAGACGTTGGTCAAGGGTATCGGCCAAACCAGCCTCTTCTTGGCCATGGGCCGGCAGAGTCGACAGGAGAGAGGCGCTTCAGACGGCAACATACAGACCATCAAGGTACTTCATCTTTTATTGAGAGTCTAGCCATACGCTAGGCTTAGACGAGAAGGCAGACATGCCTCTGTATCTGGTGCAAGTGTTGAGCTTCGGAGAGAAAAGAGCAGTATGAGGCATGTGGCCTCCAATTTCCTACTTCAGTAATACTTTGAAATTCTCCGTGATGTCCATATTTGGTGAAGTAAAAACAAAAACAGCCAAACAAGGTAGGAAGAGCCGACTTAGGCAAAGCCCCGGCAGTCCTCATGCTGATGCGAACAAATATATTGAATTATTAGAATAAGTTTTTCGGGAAAACAAATTAAAAATATGATGTCCTCATGCTAGCAAATCCCCTCCCCTACTTCTCATAAGTTAAACCCCACTACATACACTGACTTATTTGGTTTCTAATGAATACTTTTTTTCCTATAATAATTATTGTTCCCAACTCAGCCACCAACACTGGAGGACCTTCAACTTGCTGAGATGCGCCAGGCTCGCAGCCGATCTCTCTACAACCCGGCACCATTGTCGTCCTCATCCTCCGGGTCATCACCTTGCACCAACAGCTACCTTCGACGCAAGGCCAGTCAAGACTCACATCAACTCTACTCTGATGACATCACACATGACGTCACCACCACTGAAGCTCCTGAGACGGTTCAGACGCATGGCTTGGCCTTGGATCGAGTGGATGAGCGGAGCGTGCTGGAAGAGGAGGAAACGGAGGATCTTTCACAGCCGGATCACGGAGAGGAGGTGGATAGTGCCGGAGAGGAGGCAGAAGAAGACGACGCGAGAGAAGGCACAAGAGTTGGCCACCTTCAGTTGAGTGAAGACCTCCCAAACCCCATCCCCGCGTTCAAGAAGCTCTCCGTTGGCCGCGCCAGCTCAGTGGAAGTTCTCTACAATCCGAGCAGTGCACCCGAAGAGGAGGTGACATACGACGCTAACAGCCCTCCTCAGGTCGACTCCGCCATCTCGTCACAAGAGGACGACGACAGCCAGAGTGACCCGATCGAAGTAAACGTGAACACCACGCTCACGCCCAGCACACTGCGCGACCTGGCCGTCTTCCTGGAGCACATACAAGACCAACACGGCGGCCGTCAGATGGTGGTGCACGTCCACATGCACGAAAAATGATGATGAATTGATGATGATGTCACCAATGATGTCACAGTATCCGACGGTGATGTCACTGATGACGTCACCATTTTCCAAAGCAATTTGGAACAGGTTCTTGTGCTGATAAAAACATTGTGATAAATAATAGTACTGTATCATGCATGTTGAGTCTGTGTCTGCTTCCGCTTATCATCATTCCCTGTACATGTACTGTGTGTGTGTGTGTGACCGGTCAATGTGAACAAGAGCAGCCGTGTATGTTACTGTAGCAGCTAGGAAGTTGACTCTACAATTCCCCAGGACAAGTGTACTGAGAAGTCCAACTCGAAAGGAAGTGATGGATTCGCATTTTTGCTGGCCTATTTCTGACTATGCACGCGCGATGCTGGGCCTGCAGTTTGTTCATAGGCACAGAAATGCAAGGAGACCCATCACTATCATTATAGCTACGAACTCAATAAGTCTCAAGATGACACTGCAGCTGTATTTATGGTTGAATGGTATGGTAGGAAAGACACATAACGGTATGGCCGCATTCAGAGATGTGTGTGTGTGTGTGTTTTGTGTGTGTGCGCTTGCAAGTTTAGTTGATAGGTTCTGACCCTTCGATCTTGTGTACTGGCTTGCTTCTGTCTAAGTAATGCATGGAGATTGAAATAGAGTTAAAATGAACCGTGCATTGTTTTTCACCCCCATGGTCCACGCCAGTTCACATCCCAGTCACGGGTTGCAGGTCTGGGATGGCATAGCGCCCGGTGTGGCATTCACTTTTCTTGATCAGATTGCACTGCCTGAGAGGCACTGTACATCTACAAGTACATGTACATGTTTTTTCCCCTCCCAGTTAATGGCTAAGCCTCTTATACGGGCAATCACAGAACATGATTTCACTGGCCTGATCTGACCGCGGCAACAACTGCAAAGCAAAACAAAACAAAAAAATGTAAATAAAAATAAAATGAAACTTTACAATCTGCACACAATGACAACTCCATTTTTGAGATAGTCTCTGTTGATCAGTCAGTATCCGTTACCCGTGTTAGCTAGTTGCCAACAAGGCAGGCTTCAGCAACAGGAACATCTGGAGAGGCGTCATCCATCCCCCTATGCCAGGGAAATGGTGAGCGAGCCCCCCGCAGACACATGATGTTAGCACGCAGCAAAGCAAAGGCCGGCCGGCTCCGGATAAGCGAGATGTACATGTAATGTACATGTACATGTAGGTACCTAGCAGGGAGTCGTAAAATACCGGTATTTTACGACTCCCTGGTACCTTGCCCGTACAGACTACAGTGCTGCTCGCTACACTGTACTAGTATGACTCCTACAGTATTCACTTCGTCTCAGTGATTGTAGTGAATGTCTACACTATGTGCATGACTTTGTATATCAGTTGTTACACCAAAGAGCTTGTTTGGAGATTATAACCGTTGAAATCGAAGTACATGTAGGAGACTGTGATGGTGGCGGTGACGGCGATAAAGAGCAGTTTAGGTTACATGTATGTGCGTATGCTCGTATGTTCTCCGCCAGGCAAGTACAATGTACAGTGCTGGCAACTGAAATCCGACCCCTCAGCGGTGCGTTCACATTCTAGCGGTCTCTACTAGTATTTCGTAGTTTTACGATCCCGTGTTGAGTCTTTGCGATGTGAGCGCACCGCTCAGGGGTCGGATTTCAGTTGCCAGCACTGTAGCACAACTCTCAATTTGTTTCCGGTGTTATCCTTTCACTGAGGCTTTACAATACACTGTCCTGCAGGCAAGCGGATGGACTCCGCACTTGAAATTCAATGACATGTCGTGCCTATTTCCTATCCGGAAACTGTCCTGAGTGATCCACTGTCTTCATCACAGCCGGAAGCCGGGAAGGACGGGTGACTCCTGATTTCCTCGTGCTTGTTGCATTGCACATGTATGTCAGTTGCCAATTCCTCAAAGCGGCGAGTCCAGAACGCGTTGTGTAAGCAGCCTAGCACAGTCTCTCACGCTAAACCCCGTGGCATCACTTGATCGCAGTGCATTGTACTGAATGATGTTCAGTGCTACACACCTGTACGATATCAACTACAGTTACTTGCCAGCACCCCTCCCCCCCGGGTACAGACTCAGTCATCAAAACAATGACTTCAAAAACAAACATTTGTTGGTTTGCGCTTATCCGATATAAAGAATCATGTCACTCATGGCTACAAACGTAGATACGTAGTACTTGCACAAGGGACCACACAGTGTTTTGTTGATCTGCTCTCGAACACGGTCACCACCAAGCTACATTCTTCGCATTGTACACTTAGTCCATGTACTGAAGTAGTTCGTACATGTACAGCATTGCAACAGCCTGCTTCGAAGTATGATCGCCCTCCACACCAAGTCCTTCACCTGTGTCAGTATCTTAGTGGTAGCATTCATAAGACTATAATCACCCGACATCACTCGTCCTCACCAAACTGTCGACAGCATACCACATGGCACAGATTGCCACCCTCATCTGGCACAATAGCCAGAGTTCCCAGATTACCAAGAGTGCTCAACACCACAAGGATGGAGCATTAACACAACGGCAGAAGAGAACAGAGACACCTGGCTAGGTCATTGTTGTAACGCTGCGTTCCGCGCACATAGCAAACCTAAGGAAATCCTCGGACAACTGCACTGATGTCAGTCATGGATAATGTAACGGAGACAGCCCGACGTCCGAAACGTGGAATGGCCAATCCAGGTGCTGTACAATCATTGTATTTTGGGATTTCACGAAGTCACCAAGCACCGCGGCTAGCACCACATGGCACTGATGGTGCTTGAAGCCATCCTCAGAGTCTCACGGACACCTAGACAAATCCGACGTCTGAAACTTACCACGTGTAGTATCATGTAGACAATCCAGGCAACTATTTTTTTGGGGGGAAGATTTCTCTAGCACACAAAGAGAAAAGGCCTCTTTTACGGGCAAACAGAATACAATTGACAGTGGCATGGCGAATGATTAGAACACAACACCAAAAAAATAAAAACAATTGTATGTGTAAACGGTACCATTTGGTAGAGGAAAGATCCAAGAATCGCTAATCCCCTTTTGACATCAAAATCAATTCAAAATCAATTCTGATGTACATGGCATTGTACAAAAATTAATAATAATACTACAATCAAGAGTATAATATGCGAGAGGGTTACATGACTGTACACTCTTGCTACAATGCACGTGTACAGTCAACTTTGCGAATAACGACACTCGGCGGGGCATTTGAAAGGTACAATCATGTACATGTACATGTACATGTAAGTCAATCACCGTTAACACTATTTTTTTTAAAGATTTTTAAAGTAATAATAGTTCCGCGACAGCACTGTCTTGCAACGTACATGTATGACTGGGGGTGCTGTTCATTGTGCATCCGATGTGACCAGGGAGTAGTGTATTTTATTACTCCCTGGTGTGACTACATTACTACAAGTCATGTAGTAGTTCGTTCCCAGAGCTAGAGGGGGGCTAAACCTCGTGTCATCGCTTTGTTTCTATTATTGATTTACATTTTACCATTTGTAGTGGTTTAGTAGCGACGCCAGTGACGCTACAGTGGCTAGTATTATCAGTGGTCGCTATCCACACGCACCTTCCGAACAGAGACGGTCGAACACTAAACGGTCTACCATTATTTCCTTTGCAGCAAAGCAGCTGAGTCGCAAGCTACTAGGTAGTACTACTGATTCTACATGTACATGTCCTCCGTATAATATAATTATTATTATAATTCTAGTGATTGTTAGTCTTGGTTATATGCTGTCTGATGAGTGTTTTCACACGAAACTCCGAGTAATGGCGGAAACAGATTTGTTTGCTTCATTGCTGTGTGATCCATGTATTACTTGTCACTGTATGCCGTTGGCGACGCAGCGTTGATGGCTCCCTGCTGCGAGCAAGGTCTGGGTATTCTCAATGTGCCATACATGATTGTACTGTTCAATGTTCATGTACATGTACCGTAATAATTATTATCAAGCTCATTCGCATTACAATAGGTCTGGACGTCGGACAATACTACTACACGTGCTTGTGCGGCATTATGCATTGTGTCCTGCACACTGCCCTATTGTGCGCTGTTAGTATTATCAAGAGGGCAAACTAGTACATGTGCATGTACTCTTGGTATAACCACTCTGCTACTTGTTTTACAAGAGTATACCACGATCCTACACGACTGGACGGACGCTCGCCTGTTTTGGACGGGACGTCAAACAGAGCTTCAACAGAAGCCGGGTTTGCCGCGGATTCATAACTCCGGTTCCTGCGGCGAGGTTGTACAGATATTACTAAGTATGTAGAGAGATTACGCCGACCGCATGTTAAAGTTCACACGTACAAAACACATCATTATAATTAATTTCTGCGCTGCGCTTGTGAGTCCACAAAGCCTGTCAGTTCTGTCCGCAGATTGAGTAATTATTATAATTATTATTACACATGGCCTACGAACACCTTCCACACAGATCTACCCAGTGTGCAGAGAGCATGCAGAAACGAAGCTACAGCCTCCGGCAATTAGCCTATAATTATAAAAGTTAAAACTTACTTGTGGCTACGAGCTGTTGACTTTGCCAGTCACAAAGCAATAATAGCAATGGCACAACCTTGTTAACTTAAATCTGCCTTGAGTTTCTTTGGATAAGACTTTTTCAATTTTTGATTTCATCGTCGAGTTTCATCCCTTGTATCTTTGGTGTTCTTCCTTCTTTCCATGTCGTACAGTTATGATGGTACTAATTACACCATGGCCCACATAATTATTGCAACATTGGCACCTTGAATGGAGGAGTGAAACACTGACAGGTGGATCATGAAGTGTTCCCAACATTGTCACCTACGTTCTCGGAATGGAGGAGTGATACACTGACAGGTGGATCATGGAGTGTTCTCCATATTGACACCTTGGAATGGAGGTGTGATAAGTACACAGCACCCACGTAACGTCGTTGGCACTTCGAACAATGGACATCCTCTCCTCTCCATACTTTCCACCATGTTCCACCGGGAGTCGTAAAAATAATACTTTTACGACGCCCTGCCATGCCGCAAGCTAGTTTCCACTGCTCAAAGCCTCAAGTCGATGCGTGTATGCACGCTGCACGCTGCACGACCTTCGAACTGTTACTTCACTTCAGTCTTCAGACTGTGAAGGTGAAAAATTGAAAATGACTTTTGACTGAGTGCACGGTGTTTGAGTGCCTCTTGAAGTGATTGAGTGTTGCGGGAGGGCATGAGGCCATTGAGGGCCAGAACTTCAACTTGAAGTGCCAGAAGCATGCAGCGGAGGTCCGAATGCACGCGAGTCGAGTCGTCCGCAGAGCGCCGGTCATGGCGAGGGACAGACTAAAGTGGTTTCCGGGTGGCTCGTTTGTATTTGTGTGGCAAATAATTCAAGCCATGCATGCAGGGCTAGAGGCAGCAGCAACAGTATCGACGAGAATGCAACGGTACGGGCTCGCCAAACAATCACGCTACAAACTTGGAAAATCCTCAGTTGTTCCTGCTGCGTAGCGCTCACAACCTCGTGGACACGTCACGAAAGCTGCAGCAGAAACTGGCGCTACGACTTTCCCTCCGCAGGAACGGATACTGTGGCGCAAGAACGATAGGAGAGCGACCGTAGCTAAACGAAGCACCGGTGAAGCGTGCTGATATTTTAGTGACGGTTTGTCGGACGTATCTACACGGTGGGGGAGACTCCGATATCTGGGACAGTTTACGTGCACTGCATCCGCTAGCTGTGTGTCTCTGCGGACAATTGCAAGATGGGAACTGGACTTGGCAAGGAAGACTTGCTAAAATGGCAGGCGGCTGTGGAAGCGCACGCCGAGGGAGATGCAGAGTTCGCGTACAACAACTTATGTGAAATGGACGAGCAGCCGGCTCCGATTGTGTTCAATTTAGCCATGATGCACTGCTCGGCCGGAAACTTCACCATTGCTCACACTGTGAGTACACTGAGTGTGTGTGTGTGTGTGTGCGTGCGCGCGTGTGTGCGTGTGTGTGTGTGTGTGTTTGTGTGTGTGTGTTTGCGCGTGTGTGTGTGTGTGTGTGTGTGTGTGTGTGTGTGTGTGTGTGTGTGTGTGTGCATGTGTATCTGTGTGTGTACGTAGGTAGTTAAAAAAATGAAGCACGTGTGTGTGTGTGTTTCTTCTCTGAACGATTGTGCACAAGCGGCGATGTTGTTGCCTTGCCTACCAAAGCCTGTAGACCAATACAGTATTGTGCTTTACAGAGAGCAGGTGCTGTGATGGTGGCCATTGCCGAAACCTAGTTGCATGTTTGTAACTCATGTTTGTGTTTTCTCTTCAAAACTGCGTGTTTGAAAAGGGTAATCACAGCTTGAGATATGGCCTGAAACTCTTCTGACGGGAGTGTCTCCAAAAGTGTTCAAGAAAGCGTACACAACAGTAGGAGATCTGACAAATGTGCAGTGTACTGTCCACGTTGAGTGTGTGTAGTGTACTGTCCATGTTGAGTGTGTGCAGTGTACTGTCCATGTTGAGTGTGTGCAGTGTACTGTCCATGTTGAGTGTGTGTAGTGTACTGTCCATGTTGAGTGTGTGTAGTGTACTGTCCATGTTGAGTGTGTGTAGTGTACTGTCCATGTTGAGTGTGTGTAGTGTACTGTCCATGTTGAGTGTGTGTAGTGTACTGTCCATGTTGAGTGTGTGTAGTGTACCTGGCTAGATTCACAATGGGATAGTGTTGTGTGGGCAACACGCACTGTCTCTATTCGGACCTGGCAAGCATTTCCCTGGCTGTAGTATCCTTATTTTGCACAGGTGACAGGTAGCACTAGCCTGGCAGTGTTTGTTGACCATTCCACTGCTGTCCCACTGTGACTGAAGAACCTCTCTCAGTCTCATCAATGCACAAACAAAGATTGCGGGGTGTGACAGGATGGGTACACAAGGGGTCCCCCTCCCCACACACTCATATCACACAGCTACAGCTGACATCCCATTCATGCTGCTAGGCCCGGCCGGAGGAAAGCCACCCAGCCCCAAGTCAGTATCATGAGGAACCAATAATGCAGGGAGTGTAGGCTGCTGTTGTGTTATTGTTGGTGGCAAGATAGTGAACCATACGTGATGGTAAGCAGCACCTCAGCTTAGCGGCTCGAGGTGGACCAGAGATTGCCTGTGGTGAAGTGAGAACTAATTCAAAAATGGTGAAACAATTACAGCAAGACCTGTTTAAACTCACCGCTGGCAGGACTCACACACTGTCCTCCCCATGCACAGGTGGTCACCTTATCCAGGGTAGGCACCAGTGGTAATGACCCCATGGTTCCTGGGTGCGGTGTTTCAGCCGGGGGACAGGTGGTTGTCCTAACAGAATGGTTGCCTTGATGACAAGTTCTACATCTGCTGAAGGGACTTTAGATGTTCTCGGAGAGGAGTTGAGGGTGTGGGTGAAATGGCTTCTACAACAAAGAGTTGGCCAAGTGCCCAGCAAAATATCTCTTGAATCCCCTAAAATTCACATTCGTTGATGAATTTATAACTACTACTTCCCATCACCCACCTACACAGACCATGCTTATTTCCTGGCAAGTTTGTCAGAATATTGACCACGCTGAGATATTGTCATGGCTAGCCCATGGCGCACAATGCGGGCATAGTAGAGCATAATTTGTTAACTTTCCTTAGCAGTTAATCAAGCACTTTGCATATAATGAACGTCCAGGTGACACAAAATATTCTTGAACGCCATAGTTATTGGCACCAGGAGCGGGCAAAGCGACAATTACAACTTGCACTGCAGCTGTCTTGGGGAGGAATCTAACATGACTGACAGTAGGATTTGCGGCAATATCCCTTTCGCAGTCATTGTGCAGTACTCAACTGTATCAAGAGTACACAACCCCCAAGAGTGTGCAACTCCAGCTATGGGGTCTGCGACGGCAGAACTTTACATCCCGTGCCGAACCCGTACACATTATTTGCACCCTGTGCGTGATAGATGCAGTGTTGTATGCAACTCTGCTTTGGGTTTAACTCTCTTGTGGTCAATTTGCACTGTTTGCCAGTGTAACCTTTCGAGCTATGTCACGTGATGTGAAGTTCTGCCGTCGCAGCACTGTATAGAGGCTGTGCAGACAGTTGCACACTCCTGGGGGTTATGCACTCTTGAGTATATCTACAGTACTGCTCCGGCAATGAAGTCCACTCGCGTCACTCAAATACGCGCCGGGCATTGCGCAGCCCTAGACGTGCGGACACTGGGCTGCGGAATGATGCAAGGCGCAAACGCTGTGTGACACGACTGGATTTCATCGAGCAGTACTCTCATGTATCATGCTGTGCTAAATTGCCACGACAGCCCATATCCCTTCTCCCCTCTTTGCCTCTCTCCTATAACGCTATGCACTCCCCATGAGCACCGTAAAATACCGTTGATCTGCCCCCGTACCGTGTCGCTTCCCAGCTGGTTTTCGGCAGGGGGCGGGAATTAGATCAAGTCGTTCAAGTACAGTACGATGTACAACAAAGCAGAAGCTCAGACCTGGGATGCTGGATTGTGCACATTTTCATGCTGCAATCGCACCTATCGTATTCAGCAGTACATGCGTCGGTTCAGCATCGTATTTCATTGCACACTGTATACGCCAATGTCATTTGACAGGCAGAATTTCGACAGGGGACGGGGGCGGATCACCAGTACTTTACGGTATCATAATTGTTGTTGTATGAGGATTGGTGGATAGCCATCAGTGAAACTCTGAGTTACAGCTTAATTCAGCCTAATTCCATTGCTAACTTTTGTGTACTCAACTGTACATAGCCAACACAAAATTGCCTTCCCCACGCATTAGGTCTTCACTTACTTTCCTGTGCGTGTAACAAAACCCCATTCCCCGTTTCATACTAGAATAATGTTTGCCTGATGATCACGCAAGCGTGGCACTTTGAGCTGCAATAAAATTCTATTCCACCTTACTTGTCTCTGTATTCCGCATACAGATGTTGACAGAGGCGATAGGCAAGAACAAGCATTTCGTCATCGCCCGGTTTCAGCGAGCCTGGGTGTCGCACAGGCTGGAAAAGTGAGTTGATAATTCACCCATCACTGTGGTACATGTACACTAGCACCTCTACTCAGAGACCACCTCTACACAGAGGCCACCTCTACTCAGAGACCACCTCTACTCAGAGACCAGTCACTTCACCAACCAGAGCAGATTACTAAACATTTAACCTTTATAAGAAAGAAAAAGGACCAAGGAACTACAAGTTACGCTATAATGTCCACTAACACCACCAGTTACTAAACAATCAGCTCATGCGATAACATTGCACGACACTGACCGACGGTACTGACGTTCTACAACTAACTGGCTAACAGCTCTAGCACATCTAGGATGCGCACTCCAACAGCCTTCCAACTTGGAAGCTTCTAAGTTATAGAAATAACATAAGGAGGGTAAGGTTGCTTGGTCCTTTTTCTTTCTTACTTGGTCCGCGTCAGCAATATTGTCGCTTATCTTTCGACAATTTGAGCTTAGACTTTGGACATCAACGCGTGCACTTGAAGTGATAAAACTTGGTACGATGGACGGTACGGTATAGAATGACAACTAGCTATGAGGAATTTATTGTCCAAGGAAGGGTTCATACTTTTTTCGGTCCTCCTCGTCGCTGCTCTCGGCGCTGGTGACAAATATTTTTGCTCGGGATCGACTCTCTTGCTTTTGGAAGCTCATCTCTCTTCCTCTCCGCTGCCTGGCTATTTTCTAAAGAAAAGTCGATTGTGACGGTCGCCTTCTCTCTAGGACTTCGCGTAGGAAGCACGACAGCCTGTGTGGTTCAAATCAGACGCCGTTCTTTGCAAGATTTTATTTTGAACGACGACGACGACGCGTACCGTGACAGTACTTGCAAATCTCCACGACGCACTGGATACTCCGAGCGTTGAGCTGGAGGTAAGGGAGCTGCGATCTCAGTGATTCTCAGCTTGACGAGCGATCCCTGAGGTGAGCGATCTCGGCCGTTCAGCAAAAATGGAGCTGATTCCGAGTAGCCTATTACTTTCTTGTGGCTTGCGCTGCTCTTGCCCGCACAGCGTAACAAGATAATCTATTTTGATGCGGCCCTGTATCAATCAGAATCACCCACCCGTGGCTCTCGAAATCGACTCGAACTCTAGCTAGACCTTTCAGGTACTAGTAAACTAACTTACTAACCAAAATTGGGATGAAATGGGCTGCCAAGTGAGCATTGGCGACATATAAACAAAGCTGAAAGATAAGCGACAATATCGCTGACGCGGACCAAGTATAAATATTAGTAATCCTTGGCTCTCCATCCGAGTCCATCTTAACCTTTGTTAAAACTTAAAAAGCCACATGTTTTTTTTACGAGACCGGTCACTGCAGAACCCCCACCATGTTGCTGTATGGAGTTGAAGATGTGGAAATGTCAGTCTGATCGACTCTCACACGAACCATAAAATGTCCGCTGTTGCCATTACAGGAACGAGGATGCCATGCTTGACTACCAGGTTGCCATAGAGATGATGCGCGACGCCGACTTCATCAACTACCACACGCTGGGCCTGGAGTACGTGTTCTGCCGCTACCTGGCGCAGTTCAACCTGGCCGTCATACGCCTGGTGCTGGGATTGCGGGACATGTCCGCCGAGGTCTACCACCAGGCCATCGCCACCAAGGCAAGGATGGAGGCGGACGCACACATCAAGGACATTGCCAAGGAGCAGCTCCAGGTGGGTGCCACACAGTTCGTATATACAGTAAAACTTGGTTTAAGCGACAACCCCACGGTGCAGGCAAAAGCGGTCGTTAAAGCCCGGTGGTCTTTAGAACCAGGTCCCACGGTGTCTGTGCAGAACTGTCGGTGCATGGAAAAAACGGTCGTTAAGAGCAGGTGGTCGCTAAACCCAGAGGTCACTTACACCAGGCTTTACTGTATATCCATTAGGACATAGCCACACTTTCAAGTCTAAAACACGGCCAGAAATCCACTGTGCAGCTTTACTCCGGCCATGCGTTGCCATGCCAACTCATAACTATATTGTTAGATAAATTAGTCTCCGGAGTATAAGCCGCACTGGAGTATAAGCCACACTGGAGTATAAGCCACACTGGAGTATAAGCCGCACTGGAGTGTAAGCCGCACTGGAGTATAAGCCGCACTGGAGTAAAAGCCGCACTGGAGTATAAGGCCAAGTAAAAAAAAAAGCTAGATGATCGTCCCCGTCCGCCCCAGTTTTTGTCAGCGCCCCAAGAAATATTTTATTTTTTAAATCGTGAGTTTTTGCCGAAATCGTTGGTTTTTTACCGATCGCGGATGCAGGAAACATGTGCACGCTTTGTTTAATACTTTCTTTACTATATGGACCACATACTACTAGTATATCACAACGTCAGTATCGATCTGCTGAAGAAAGAAAAAGAAAAAAAGAAAAAAAAAGAAAAAAAGAGAAAAAAAACCTTGATGTTGTTGTGTACACTGTGTGCATGAGAGGGTAAAAAGTAAAAAAATAAAAATAAAATCCTCCCGCCCTCCCCGATTTTTCCAAAAAAAAGGACGATCATCTAGTAATTTTTTTTACTCGGCCTAAGCCACACTGGAGTATAAGCCGCACTGGAGTATAAGCCGCACTGGAGTATAAGCCACACTGGAGTATAAGCCACACTGGAGTATAAGCCACACTGGAGTATAAGCTGCACTGGAGTATAAGCCGCACTGGAGTAAAAGCCACACTGGAGTATAAGCCACACTGGAGTAAAAGCCACACTGGAGTATAAGCCACACTGGAGTATAAGCTGCAACCCCAATTCTTTGCCACGAAATACAGACATGTGCCCTATCAATCTCCGTTAATTTTCGGTGAATTTTGAGTGTGCAAAGTGCGGTTTATACTCCGGAATTCGTTTACTTTTATACTTCTAACTTTATCATGCATCAGTCTGGGTAAGAAAACATCCCTGCTTCGGGTTTTTTAATGCATTCCGGGAGCTGATTTTAAGAGTGATTCGAGTGCATGTTATGCCAGTCAATCCTCGGTAGTATAGTGGTAAGTATCTCCGCCTGTCACGCGGAAGACCCGGGTTCGATTCCCGGCCGGGGAGGACATTACTTTTTTCCTTTTGGATACCTTTTTTTTCCTTTTGGATGTTTGAATATTATATACGTTAACATTTTGTGGTTGATTGTCATCCTGGATTCTTGAAAATACATCGTAGACATTGTGTCAAAGCCAACATGTTTTGGGTGCACTTCTTGTGCAAAGTGCGGAGCATGGATGGGTGGGGCGAATGTTTGATTTTTCTGGCTTTGCTTACCCTCAGAACATATTCTTCTGACATCTGCGGTGGACTATTCACTTCATTTTAATTTTATTTAATAGCTCGGATACTGAGCCAGTAATAAAATTAACGTAAAAAAAAGAAGAAAACACATGAGAACGAGTTATGCAGCAACTAGCAGCTAGGTCTCATGTCGCTGAACGTCTCAGTAGCCTGTCAGTTGTGTGCCCTATTATTGCACGTTCCGACTCTTTATCATATTGTTACAGACGTGGATAGCTGCTGAATAACTCGTTCTCATGTGTTCTCTTCTCTTTTTTTAAAATTAATAGCAGTAAGAAAAAGAGGATGAAAAAAGATGTTTTTACTCTAAATTTCAACAGATTCTTGGTTGGAGGGAAGCAAACCAGCACACGAAGCACGGACGCCCTATAGTTTCGACCAAGCCTTTCGTAATAATGTATTACTTTTCAAGTCGAATACAGTGGTGATTAAAAGCCGCAGCATGCTCCAAGTTTCAGAGACGAAGTGATCATCAGAAAGTGTGAGGCTAGTGTTATCTGGTGATTGCTTAGTGCGTGAAACTCGGAGTAAAAACACTTTTATTCATCGTCTATTCTTGTTGGAACTAGCTAGCTCTGCCTTTCGGCATTGAGCACTCTATTGGATAGCCTCGGTGAACCTCTCCGTTTTTAATTTTAATCAAAAGCATCAGCTTGTGCTGCTGCTATGCATGTCTCCTGCCTCCATGCGGCTATTCCAGATCTGGTAGACTGTTACTGGCAACAGAATCAGCTTGACCTGCTGTTATGCATGTGTCTTCTGATTCCAGGTAGCTATTCCAGATCTGGTAGACAAGTCTGTGGCGCTTGAACTGCTGCTGTGCATGTGTCTTCTGACTGCAGGTGGGCGTTCCGGATCTGGTGGACTACTCCGTGGAGCCGTGCAGAATGAACCATGAGCATGGCGAATGTCCACTGATACGATTACCGCCACATCTCCTGTACAAGCCAGCTGGTCTGGGCAAAGACATCCTCAAGACAGCTATGGGGGAGAAGAAGGATTACCTGAAGCAGAAACAAGCCAAGGTAATGCTGCGTATATCTCCTTGCCGCTCAGGTGATTTATTGCATTCCCAACCCGTCACAACCACGAGCTCTCAGCCGAACCATAAAGACACCAGCAAGGACACTTCCGTTGAGAGATACTATATGGGCCTCAACCAGCGAAAACAGCCCTTGGGGTCAACTTTTTCAAAATTCCTTTTTGGTTAGAAATTTGTTGAACCACATCTACTGAAGGACCTCAGCCAAGAAAAAGTTCAATATTCCGATTCTAAACGGGTGTATACACCAATATACAAGATGTACTCCAAATTGGTGCAATTTATGTATACGATGTATGTGTACAATGAATATTCAGCATTCGAAGGTGGGTGGGCAGCTTGAATACTTTTGAAATAGTGCAGTAAGCAGCTATAATGACAAAGAATAGCTGATGAGTGCGGAGAAATGATCGACATATTCGCAGCTGCATCCAGCGTGGAGTCGTTCCGCAATCTCGTCTTCCATTTCTTCCTCCGTAGCTGAAGACACGACGTCGCTGCCGTCACTAGCCCCAGACTCAGAATTTATCTCAGGTGACGACTCCTCATCTTCCGACTCTGACGAGTCATCGGCCACCTTGAGCCGCATCGCAGCAGGAGATGACGGCTGCGATTCCGCCTCGCTGTCGACATCGATGTCGGAACCAAAGAACGTCTCATCCTCATTCTCAGCGGCTACTTCAGCATCCCCTCCCCACCAGGCTCGAGCTAGCTGAAGACAATGACTGCATGTGTGCTCTGCGAACAGCTCTGGCGTCCGCAGCCATCGCTACAAGATCAAGGGACACTGGAGTCGCCACTCGACACCACTTCAACTTCAAAATAAATTCCTTCAAGCAAGGAGTTCAAAAAGTCGTACGATCGTCGCGCTGTTTGCAGCGCGATCAAAAAAACCGTTGAACGTCACAAATCGACCTTTTTCTCGAAAAAAATTACGAAATCTCTAAGGGTCGTTTTCGCTGATTACGGCTCATATTAGCTCAGTTGCAATATTTCGCTGAGGTGATGGTGTGGAAATGTCCTGGCATTCACCCTGGTGATATCCTCTGTGAAGTTCTGCGGCTTGGTCAGGGACGATTATGAACTCTCCGCGCGCTCTGTGTGTGTATGTGTGTGTGTCTGAGTGTGTGTGTGTGTGTGTCTGAGTGTGTGTGTGTGTGAGAGAGAGAGAGAGAGAGAGTGTGTGTGTGTTGTGTGTGTGTGTGTGTGTGTGTGTGTGTGTGTGTGTGTGTGTGTGTGTGTGTGTGTGTGTGTGTGTGTGTGTGTGTGTGCACGCATGCAAGGGCATCACAGGGCAGTGGGGAGTGGTACCACGTGGGGGGGGGGGGGGAGGGGTCCCCCAGGGAAAAAGTTAGAATTGTAGGCTAGTAGGGCACGTTTTAGCGCTCTACAGGCGCATCCTGAACCCAAAGTAGTACGATCATGGTCGTACTGGCCGTACCCTGTGTGACACTCCTGACATGCTTATGTGTACTGTCAACTTCGCTTATAGCGACACTCGGTGAGGCATCAGAAAAGTGTCCTTATTCGCGAAGTGTCCTTATACCCGAAGTCCTATTGTATGTGTACATGTAGAAGGGACTTTGCTCTGGGCATGGAAATTCTGTCGTTATTCGCGAATTGTCGTTATGTCAGCAGTCGTTATTGGCGAATTGACTGTATGCCAGCACGTGTTTGCGTCGTGCATGACATTGAGTATGCAGGCAAAGAGAACTAAGCAGCAGACAAAACCATCAGTCCCAGCTGCCGCCGCAAGCACTAACGTGTGTGTGTGTGTCTGTGTGTTGTTGTCGTTGTTCCTTTTCTTCTTCTCTTTCTCCTCTATGTATGTGCATAGGTTCTGTTTTCCAACGAGGCCAGCGGACATGCTTATGAGCCGGGCTTCCGTGGAAGGCTGGTACGTATTCTTCCAGGCTGTCCAACCATCCTGCTTTGGATCAAAACAGTTATATACATTTACAAGGGAGACAACTGCCTTTGGACAGTTAATATACGGCAAGATGGCTCAATTGGTTATTGAACCGCCCAACGGCCGACCTCCCCTAAAATCCCCAAAACTCTGGGTGGACTTGAAAATGATCCCACTTATGGGCTCACCACACCTCAGTAAGTGGGTGAGGACAAGGTGCAGAAAAAGGATTGACGGCATCAGGGTATCCGTCCCGGGATCCAACTGCAGTTACCCCTGCCCCCAGTGAAGGTAATACTTGCTACTAATGTGAGTGGTTAAATCAGAGTGGATCTGATAAAAGCTTCCCTAGCACCATTGATTGCACAAGAGTTAATCTAGCCAGAAGCAGTCCATGGTTAACAGGTATGTATACTTCAAATAGAAAGTATAATTATGAACCCTGGAACCAACAAAGGTGGCAGGTACAATATCACACCTTCAAGTAGCCGAGCCTGTTGGCAACAGACCCAACACAATCAGGCATACGTGTACCTACCAACCAAACTAGCTGGCACACACACACACACACACACACACACACACACACACACACACACACACACACACACACACACACACACGTAGAGCACAGGTCATGCAGAATGTCTTTGCATGACAGTCCTACTATGGGTAGCGGCCTATGCAAGTCTTTTGTGTTGTGTGTGTGTGTGTGTGTGTTTGTGTGTGTGTGTGTGTCTGTGTGTGCGTGTGGGTGTGTGTGTGCGTGTGTGTGTCTGTGTGTGTCTGTGTGTGTGTCTATGTGTGAGTGTGGGTGCGTGCATGCTTGCATGCGTGCGTGCATGCGTGCGTGCGTGTGTGCGTGCATGTGCGTTGTGTTGTGTACACAGCATGTCGAGGAGTTCATGCCCATGGCCATCTCAACCAAACACAAGAAGAAGAACAAGAAGAAGCCAGGCAGCACACTGTCAGGACTCATCAAGTCGGCCACTCCCAGAATCATGATGGTCAAACCGGTGACAGCGGATCCTCATCCCCAGGGTCGAGCACAATCTGAACCACACATTCAGCCCTACATCAAGGTGAGAGTTGATAGTGATCAAACACCTGTCAATTGCTCCATTACAATTTGAAACACCTCGCATTATCTAGCTTGCCGAGAGGGGGAGAGAGAGAGAGAGAGAGAGAGAGTGTGTGTGTGTGTGTGTGTGTGTGTGTGTGTGTGTGTGTGTGTGTGTGTGTGTGTGTGTGTGTGTGTGTGTGTGTGTGTGTGTGTGTGTGTACGGAGAGAGACAATACGGCGACAAACACTATAGACTACAGCTTCATCGATGGGCAGGTGTAAGGAGAAATGTCTTTGTCCATTTTTGTTCTTGTTCTTCTGTTCAGCCCCGTGAACTGCCCAAAGAGCACAAAGACGTACGTGGGCGCAGCAAGTCCCTGTTTGTCGTCCCTAGTCATGAAGAAGACGACGAAGACGACGACGAAGAGCAACCACGGGCTAAGGATGACGGCGATATTCCAAACATCGCCTTGGTGAATGCAATGGACGAAGAAGAAGACGAAGATGATGAGCAGGAGCAAGCACACGCCGGAGCAAACTGGAGCGAGCGGCAGAAGACGGAGGTCGACAAGGCAGCCTTTCTCCGTGTGAAGAAGACTTCGATCGGCCAGGCAAAGTCTGTGGAGGTCCTCTACGCTCCACCCAACGGTGCGGCGGTGCCCGAGACCAGGAAGGTGCTCTCGGACAGCGAAACGGCGAGCTCGTCGCACGATGACGATGGCTACGATAGCCGAGTGCAGATCAACGTCACAACGCAGATGACACCGACCACGCTACGCGACCTGGCAGACCTGCTGGAACACCTGCAGGTGACGGACAAACAACAGAAGTTCATCGTCAACGTGCACATGCACCAGAGTCCACCAACAGCCATGTGAGCAGTTGATACTTGGTGATGTGCAATTGTCGACTCAGTTCATGATCAACGTTCACATTCACCAGAGTCCGCCAACGGCCAAGTGAACAGTTCCGGTTGTTGACGATATGTCGTGACGTGTAATCGTTGACTCGTGTGATTGCTGATATGGACTGGGAACAGGAGTGGTGCTGGAATTCTCTCAGAAAGTCAGGTGAAAGAAGTTTGCACTAGATATTCTCTCAGTGTAGCCTGTTGTTCAAACCTAAACCTGGCTATGTACCTACCCTCCGCTATGGGTATATTCTTGCTCTAGCAACACACTACACACTAGTGAAGTGTTGTATTTCAGGAGATAGTGTGTGAGTGTGTGTGTGAGTGTGTGTGTGTGCGCGCGTGTGTGAGGGTGTGTGTGCATGTGTGTGTGTTTGTGTGCATCCGTGTGTAGGCACGTCTTCATGTTGCGCACATGTACACTCATGATATCATGTATATGCAGCTGGGTGTTTGTTCACCGTACCCGTCCTTGGTGTTGTTTGAACGTGGGCTCTTTTGAAACATATTTTCCTGATTGAATGTTTGTCCATGTGTGATGTCTGGTCACTATGCTAATGTTCCTTTATGCCTTGCTACAACATTGTTTGGGGATTCTCTCATCTTTGCTGTGTATCTATCATGCAATGTTGTAAGAACTCTGCTCTCGTCACATTTTCTTATCCATTTCTTGACTAAATGTAGCGACTTTCACATGACTAGTTGTACACTGTGATCGGTGAGATAAAATTAATACTATCTCCTTTCTTGTACGTTTGTTTCATTACATCGAAGTACATTCCTCTCAGGGATGTTCCGAACCATTATGCTCGTGATGTGTAGTGTGTAAGCTGACTTGGTGACTGTTAAGTGGGCACTGCCGCCGTGCGTCAGGGTGTGTGTGTGCGCGTGTGTGTGTGTGTGTGTGTGTGAGTGTGTGTGTGGTATGTTTGCACGCGCGTGTCCGCATGCCCCATGTGTGTGTGCGAGGGGGGGGGGGGGGCACGGTGCGTGTGTTGTGCGTGGGTGTGACATTATGCCATGCATTTTTTTCGATTGAGATGCCTGACTCCAGGGCTATGAATAATGATGACATCATACATTCCAGTGCCACAGTTTAGGAATCAAAACCTCAAGCACCCGCGGCTGACCTGAGCAGCACGTCTTCATTTTCTTCATGGCACATGCGTACATGCACAGAATCTAACGCACTGACAGAATGTGAGCACGCATGTACGAGTGGCTATCATGCCATTGAATCATAATTTCATAGATGCTTTGTGTGATGTAAACAATCATAATGGGTAACTGCTGCTGCCTAATTGTAACACTGGAATTATGCCTCATGATGAGCCGCGGTGGTTCTTCCTCATGCAGCTTCGACTCCGGCACATTCTTTCTACACTGCCTCCTATCAGTAATGTAGCTTGAGGTGCTGATGCAGCTTCCTGGATCCATTATGAAAATTAATTATAGCTGGCTGGAACTTGAACAATACCATGGCCCGCCATGATAGATCACCCGGGTCAACTGTCTCCAGGTCCACAGCCACATCAGCACAAGGTGATAACTGATAATAATTGTCTGAAATGGCAAGTGCAACACCACATTACATTGTAGTTACCAATGGATCAATGCAGTTGTTACTGGTGGGTGTAATCTTTGAAACTCATCACTGCCTCGTGTGACTCCAGACTCCAGTCGCACCAACTACTTGACCAAGTGTGTGGGACGTTAGGACGCTGTATCACGCCCCTCCTCCTCTCCCTCCCCCCACCCCCCCCCCCCCCCCCCCCGCACCCACTCCCGCACCAGTACTGGCAGTAGGCATACCTGCGGTAGTGTCCAGTTCACACGACTACAGACACAGTACAGTACAGGAGCCAAGTAACACTAGTCTGACCTAGCAGCTCTACACTGTACTAGTACAGTCAACTTCGCTAATAGCGACTGCGGATATAACGACAATTCGCGAATAACGACAGCATTTCCATGCCCAGAGCAAAGTCCCATCCAACTGTAATACATAATAAATGAGACTTCGGGTATAACGACACTTCGCGAATAAGGACACTTTTTTGATGCCCCGCCGAATGTCGTTATAAGCGAAGTTGACTGTACTAGTAGTATTGCACCAGGTAAGTATGTATTACTGCACAAGGACCAGTGCAATACCGGCCGATATCTGCACGAACGGCGAAGCCGTAAGTGCAGATATCGACGCCGGTATTGCACGCGTCCGAGTGCAGTAATACATTTATCGCACCCCTGCCACCACACAGTCTGTCACCACACACTTGACACAGTCTGGTGCATGCAACCCTAGCATGCTGCATGCAACCCTGCTATCATTATTTTCACAGTCATACAACACAGCACAACCAGTCGCGTTCATTTTTAGAGGAACACTTCTTTCGAGTAGCTGCTGTCTATCACGGGAGATCCTGGAAGTAGCGGGACAGCTTGCTCATGTCGTCGTCGTTCATGGGGTGTTTGTGCTCCACCGCTTTGACTTCTCCCGCTTTCTTTGGCTTCATCAGGAAGGCCTTCAATGCAATGTTTGCGTCCTTGAACGCTGGGTCACTGTGGACCTTCATGGGCCGCTTCAACTCGACTAGCTTGCGATGTATTGCGAACGGAAACCGAGCAAGCTTGATGCAGAGTAGAACTAACTGTTACTTCACTCCAGCTTTCTTCGGACGCAATTCGAAGCCAGTAAATGATGTACAATCATGCATTTCTTGAAGTAGATCTAAACAGACTGTTAAAGGGGAACTACACCCAAAAATCAAAACTTCATGGTCCGTAGAGTTTTGGACGCTGAGTCGAATGGTGAAGGTCCCACTTCGATCCGACCAAGCGTTCTTGAGATAATTATATCAGTTTGCAATTGTCCTTTTCGGGTCCGTGCCGTGACGTCACAAACCCGTGACGTCATTGAGACTTGGTGATCCTTTGGCCAGATCCAGAAACACTGGGATTTCGCATCTTCTTTCTGTTTGTCCATGGAAGAAGAGGGTATTTGTGTCATCATGGCTTCTGGCTGTGTTTTTGGCTACTATAATCTTACTGGTAACCCCCCTGGGATGAACCTGCACCAATTTCTGAAGGATTGTGCTTGGCACAGGCCGAGCAGTGCACCATAGCAGCTATCAAGCGACATAATTATTTGCTTGACAATTTAGGGACTACAATGTAAATCCTTCGCGTGTGTTCCAGCCATTTGGCAGAGGAGGATTTTCAGGAGGAATATTATGGCACTCATCCGATGCGGACGCTGGTGGATGAAACTGTGGTGCGTCCTTTTTCGCACGCCACACTGTGAAGTGTCAGTCGAAAAGCGGAGGTGAGTGCAATATTTCAAAAACACTAGCTACTGTATGTAGTTCTTTCTTTTCCAAAGCATTTGTAGAATTGTTTTGGACTACATCACTACGAAATGTGAAGTTTTCCGAAACCGGCCTGATGAGATGGACGGCAGTAGATCTCCTGTTTCCCTAGGCTATGCTGCGTGCGATCGATGAACCTGTCTGCGATTGCTGTTCTTGATTTTACAGGAAGAAGATCAAGAGCGGCTGTACCATCGGTCGCAGTGACTCACTGTTGAGCTACGACCACTGCCACCGCCCCAAGGTTATAGGAAGGACTGTTTGCAGCGCCAGCGCCTCTAGCTGGCATGTTTTTTCCTGTATGAACACACAGTATGTACTGCTGATAAGCTACATCACGCAATGACCCGCAGTTCAAGGAGAGAAGATAGTCCACATACCGGCAACGGTGTACACCTATTCGGGAACTCGTTGGGTTTTCTCAGTATGGATGCAGATGAGAGCCAGACATTATTATTATTGTGTGTATGCATGCAAGCCTGTGAGTGTGTGTGTGCGCGCGCACGCGGGTGAGTGTGCGCGCACGAGCGTGAGTGTGTGCGTGCGCGCGCCCGTGCGCGCACGTGAGTGTGTTTGCGCACACGCGCGTGAGAGACAGACATTATTATTATTGTGTGTGTGGGTGCACGCGCGTGTGTGTGCGCGCGCACGCGCGTGAGTGCGCGCGTGACACTGAGTGTGTGTGCGCGCGCATGCGCGTGAGTGTGTGTGTGTGCGCTCACTTGCGTGAGTGTGTGTGTGTGCGCGCACATGCGTGTTCTTTTGTGTAATGTAATATAACATTCCAAATATATTCACGTCATCTATTCTGTGTTCTCCTTTATGTCATTCTCTCCCCATTTGCGGGAGGGACATGGAATGACAAGTAGTAGATGCATTGCCGTTAGTGATCCTGAGGGATGTGTGGGTATGCAACCAAGTGCATGAGTGCGCGCATGTGTGCGTGCACGAGCATGTGCACAGGCACTTGTATGCTTATGCACTCGTGTGCGCACGCGCTTGTGAAATTGCGTGTCTGCGTGCGTGAGCATGTGTGACTACTATACTATGTGCCCACCAAGGTGAGCACATGTACGTGCGTGTGTGTGGGGCGCAGGCGGATATGTGCACATATTTTAGAATGATAATCAAGGACAGAGCTGTTCCGGTAATGCAGTCATGAGACACCACAGTAGGGCAAAACGCACTCAATATGCTACTGTGCTGCTGCTGCTAGAGTGCACAGCGTAATTGTTGGTACACAGCTACGTGAAATACAAGAGAACGTCTCAGCATTCTGTAAAGACTAAGTGATAATGCAAAAGGTGAGAATGTATTTCGCCACAATACGAATTGAGTGCAGTCCACTTATGTGAGATAAAGCACAAGTGAACCGATACACATTGCACGGAGATAATGCTAGCCATGTTACGCAGCAAACTCCATGTACAGGAGTACGAGTGAGGAGACTATTGATCTGAGTACTGTGCGAATACAAAATTTCACACAATTTACGATATGAAGAGAACGATTCGATTTGTGAGCATTACGTAGGACTATACTGTGAAAACACTTACGGATTGTCAGGGTTGTCTGAGCTGCTTTGGCTGCCGCTTCATTTCGAAATAGCCCAGCCAACCGGTTGCCAGATGTTGCTGATGGAGAGCGACTTCTCCAATTGCAGTAATTTCTGCTTCATCCACATTTACAGCCCGATTGGAAGCCACCGCTTGCGCTGCCATATCCTTTCCTGAAAATTTCGGCTCATGCCCGAAGCCAAACATTTTCAGCTCAGGCTCTGAGCTTTCAAGCTCGTCTGATACGTCGGAATCGCTCATGGTGAGGACGTCTTTGTCAGAACTATTCCTTTCACATACGAAAATACCTGTACTTCTGAGCTTGGCCCAGGCAAGCAAGTCTCAATGACGTAGAAGGGTGTGTTGGGGGTGTGTCGCGGCCGCATGACGTCATGGCGCGTCCCCCGAAAGTACAATTTAAACCGAAGATATCTCAGGAACGCTTGGTCGGATCGAAGTGGGACCTTCACCATTCGACTCAGCGTCCAAAACTCTACGGACCATGAAGTTTTGATTTTTGGGTGTAGTTCCCCTTTAACAGTTTGCACTCCCTACCACCATGACCACAGTAGCAACATCACACCGAATGCATCCTTGTTATTGTGCATCTACAGCCTGTTATTACAATCGATACAAACAGAATCCAGACAACATTTTATGCTTGCTACATTCCCCCCGGAAGAAGAAAAAGATACTCTAATTTCAGAAATTTTCGGTGCTCAATATTTTCGGTATGAGGGCAACAGGCCAGGTTAGGTGAACAGAAATTTTCGGTACAGAGAAGCAGTTCCGATTATGTGTGTTAGTGTTTTTTCGGTGTACATGTATTGAAATTTTAGGTATGAAACAGACACACCGAAAGTACCGAAAATAAAAGTACACCGAAAATTTGTGAAATTACAGTACACACGCACTTGTATCAAGTTATTTTTGTATTTTGTATTTTATGGATTCTCCACAGGCCTTAGCCAAAAGTCGAGGGAGTCTCCGTTCTTCTTCTGAGTCCGCTTTATCAACACAACACTACCGTCAGTTGTGTTGTGTTTCTGGTGGAAATAATTGCTTACACCCATGTTCAGCACAGCTCAGTCCAGTGTTACCCCAACCATGCTGTTCAACAATTATTTTCTCCGTGTCTTCACCAGTAACTGAATGCACTGTTCGAGAACTGTAGATATTACTAGCGGCTAGCTCGGCGTGCACTTGACGAAGACTTCTTCGACGTGTTGCCAGCGCAGTTGGTTTTCGAGCATGTCTTCAAGTTGTAGCTTCGAACAACATGATTCGAAAAGGCTTTGACCCGGCAGTTCTCGAAGTTATGCTGTAGCTTGTGAAGTAAGTTGCCCGACTAGTTTTGTCTAGTATTCCGTGATGGTGGAGTTCCAGCTCTCCGTGACTCTAGTTTGTACCATGCTGAACGTACAAGATACGACCAATCCTCCGCCGTGGACGGTAGCTGCTCCGCAAAGGTGACGGGAATCTCGGAGAAGGGTGGAGGAAAACGAAGACTTCAAGGCAACACGGGTAAGTGTCCCAGAACATGTTTTCGATGTTAGTATGAGTCACAGTGCAATGTTACTCGAGTCGGGGAGAGGATTCTGAAATGGCACAATTGTATCCGGGCATACGTTACAAATAATAGGTCTTTTGGCGAACAGTAACATGCATAACCAGCAGCCCGGCTAGCTCAGTCGGTAGAGCATGAGACTCTTAATCTCAGGGTCGTGGGTTCGAGCCCCACGTTGGGCGCTTAGTTTTTTCTCCTTTTTTTACTCCAGTTTTCTGTTTTTTTCCGCAAATTATTTTATCGCACAGTAGTACTATTGAAGCCCGACGTTGACTGGTTGGCTGGGAAATTTCGATAACTTGCATCAATTGGCTCAAGTGCTAGTCAGTCTTTTGCAGCCAGCCCTAACTCCGATGGTGACCCCTTTTTTTCAGTGGCGCGAACACATGTAAAGGACAACTAATTTGCTGCAGCAGGGCCTCCATACATGTACCGTAAAGTTCCGCCAGAGCGCCCCACCTTCTTGTCCTTTCGTGGTCGTACTGTGGAGGTGATTTCCCACCCGTAGGTCATACGACACGAACCTTGTACACACGTCGCACGCTGTGCACTCAATCCGTACTCAATTTGCCTACATGAGTTCCACACAAAAACCTGCCAAGTGTGACCTTAGTATACTACGGTTCTCACGCCGTACAAACTAACTTACTTCGTTGCACTTTGCCAAGTACGAATTTCCTTTCCCTGGCTGTAAAATCAAGGTGGGGCGCTCTCGCAACTCTGAGACGGGGCGCTCTGGCGGTACTTTACGGTATTTTTTAAATAGGGGAGGTTTAGTCTCAAGTAACGGAGGTTTAGTCTCAAGTAACGGATACGGGAACGTGGGTGATACACGTAAAGTTCATGCAATGGACCAACGTTCACAATGTTTTAGTCAAATGGAACAAACGAAGCATGAAGCGAAAAGCCCAAACTTGGCCAAAGACGCAGCTTCGAAGCTCGTCAAATATTTTGATTTCGTGCTTCGGAAACTTCTTCAGCTGAGCACCCTCACAGCTTGCGCAATGCGCTCCATTCTGATTTTCACCCACGTTCCGCCGAGCCTCCATGCACGGTATGTCGTGAATCAGAAAACGACTGTACGTGGGTCACTGAGTATCACGTGGTACACACACACGTAAAGTACACATGGATTACGTGGGACTAAACCTCCCTATTATTGAAGAAGACCACAACAATGTCGAGTCAAACCGAAAGTGATCATCACTTTGACGTCCAAGGTGCATATATTCTAAAAAGAGACATGATTGCCTGTTATGTCAACTGTGAGAATTGAAACGTACTACCGGTAAATGGAAAGTTGTGATCATGGTTCAAAGTCTTTGGTCATCAAGTTTCTGCTTTGGGCAGCTCATGTTGACTGTTTGTGGTGTCGCCATGCAGCACATGAACTGCTCGTGTCCATAGAATTCACAAGCAACTACAGTAAAACTTGTAACTAAAGACCACCGTGACTAGCGACCAGCCTGGTACTACAGACCACTTCGCCAGGCACGGACGGTCTCGCATTCATGCATGGCTGTGCGGTACAAACCTCTAACTAAGGACCACCTGCCACTAAAGACCACTTTCTCTGGCCCCCGAGGGGTGGTCGTTAGTCACATATTTTCCTGTACTGTATGCATGGCCGCTCGATGGGCTATGTGAATAACTGACAGCCGCCTCAAGCAATGTACTGTAAATATACAAATTTTCGGCAGCTATTTTCGGCAGCTATTTAATATCATGCCCTAGCGCCCTCTACCCCATGCCGAAAATAAATCGCCGCCGAAATGTCAAAAATCGTGAAGTGCCGAAATTTTGCAGCGCCGAAATTGTGTATATTTACAGTACATGTAAATGACTTTGTGTTTTACGGGCTTGAATGCCACTGTCAGAATGCTTTCGACATGGATTACTGACAGGATGAACAGCTAGCTCCACAAGTCATGATGTACGTGTACCGGTACACGTAGAAAATCAGCACACAAAGCACAGCAAATGAACCGGCACTTTGGCGGTCAGAGCATTGACAAAATAGCACTTTGAAAGATAGAGCTAGTGGCGCCAGCTTCATATTTGGCGGTCAGAGCATTGACCAAATAGTACTTTGAAAGGAAGCACTAGTGTAGTATATTTACATGTAGAAGAAGAAAAACAACAGGCAGACTAGAAATAGAAAACACGGCGTGCCGAGTGCTGACTTAAAAATGCTAATGATTTTCCGTTGCCATAGCAACACGCAACAAGATCATGCAAACTGATTTTGCACTGCGGATCTAAATCCACGGACAAAATACTCAACCGATACAATACTGGTAGATTTGTGGTGATGACGGGATGAAACGGATGTTTTGAGAAGTTCGCCCCTTGCCAAAGAAAATGTATATGTATGGTAGTGATGCTGGTTGAAAATCAAGATCGTACTCACTAGGATCATTTCTATAGTACGTATCCCGTCTTTGTTCTCCTACAAAGACAATCGCATAAGCCACGAGGATGACATGTAGCATCCTCCCCTGAGCGGGAAGCGCACCAGCACGACAGCATCCATGTTTGGATGCAAGAGTGCTGGTGATTGATGACCGTTCTGCACTGTCCTTCTGGTCAGTGTGGAGGGGGAGGCTGCTTTATGAGTGGCTCTTTTATAATTATAAAAAAATGAAATTGATTTATTCAACTACCTGCCTGCCATAAAGGGTACTCAATAGTCATGTGACAGTACACACTTCACCCGTATATGGAAGACAAGCTGGTTTCATCATCCATATTTGGCAAGAGTTCGGCTGCATTTACACGGCCAAGCTGGGGATGAAAGCGCGACAAAATTCTTTCGCATGCTTCCGTTCATTTACACGGTATGTGAAGCAAAACGGAAAAGCTGCACACCGAAACAGAAGAAAATTAAAACGCTGGCCAAAGTCGAAGAAATTGAAAACGGAAATCTTCTGCCAGCTAAATTCAGCCCTCACCATCGTCTACACGGATTTCAAAAGCGTCGACCTCCATTTTGAAAACATGGTGGCTGGCCGCGCTACCCGTAGGCGCACGTGCCCCCCGCGTGTCTTAGCGCGAGCTTCGAGCTAAAGTAGTAAAGATCATGTCGCCCACTCATTTCCCTGTGTTTCCCCATTTCTTCGAACTCGCTCAGCTTTTGCTTCAGCGTTTGCTTCGCTTGTACTTCAGCTCCACGCTGTAGTCTGAGTTTAGTTCTCTTGTCTTCTTCCAGCAGAATACTGCAAACTCTACAGCGCGCCGAGCTTCTCCTAGAAGAGTTTCCTTTGCGTCGAGATAGAGTGTCGATCGTTTCAGTCCTATCTTGCCGTCGTCTCATGAGCGCCCGAAAGCAACAGTATCTATTTTCTTGGCGTTCCATTTTCTGGCGAACTCATTCACCTACTACTTCTTCTTTTATGAAAGCTTCAGGTGGCTGAGTTCTCCCACTAGCGACAATCATGCCTTGGAAAGGAACAGGATATTCCTAAGGTACACTGTATGTACAGCCAGTGCAGTGGTGTCAGTGTACTGCACTGCAAAAAGCTACTGCATGCACTGTGCGTAGTTGTTGTTTGTTTTGTCGAGAAAGAATCCCTTTCGCACTCGCCCGGGCCGCGAGGGCGCAGCACGGAAACGGGTCTATTGAATTCATTTCTTGGTCGATTTTGACAACCAATACGTCGTTTTTCTTTTTTCACTGGCTATCCTTTCTCCGCTTCCGAATTGCGATGCCGTCCACCTGGAAAGCCTTGAAGTGAAACGAGTGGAGGTCGATTTTGGAGGTAATTTTCGGCCAAACGGCAATCAAATCGAAAAATTCGAAACGGACGATCTGTTGGTATCTATCGAAAGAAGACGTTGGTCCATAAAAAATCTTTGGAAACTACACCGTATGAACCAAGGAATTGCGGTAAGTTTGAGAATTTTGGTACATTAGCTGTACGCTGATTAGCGCGACCGTTGACAAACGGGCCAGTGACGCTTTGTACAGCGTTGGTGAGGGCTGAAATTAGGATGTCTGAACAGTCGAAACGGTTTGCCGCGCTTCATTTTCATTGTAGTTACCTGGTAGTCACATTTGTATCGTTGTGTGCGTCTACACGGGCTGCGGTTGATCCAACAATAGAGAGGTTTAGTCCCACGTAACGGACACGGGAACGTGGGTGATATACGTAAAGTTCATGCAATGGACCCACGTTCGCAATATTGTTTTAGTCATACGGAACAAAAGCATGAAGCGAAAGGCCCAAACTTGTTCAAAGACGAAGCTTCGAAGCTCATCGAATATTTTGATTTCGTGCTTCGGAAACTTCTTCAGCTGAGCACCCCGGCTCACAGCTTGCACAATGCGCTCCATTCTGATTTTCAGGGTGAGCTTCCATACACGGTATGTCGCGAATCAGAAAACGACTGTACGTGGGTCACTGAGTATCACGTGGTACACACACGTAAAGTACACACGGATTACGTGGGACTAAACCTCCCTAATGTTCGCTAAGTGAGGAGTGGTGTCGTAAGAAGTGTTGCCAACTATTTTCTTGATTGTGATTGATGCTCCCACGGTAACACTGCTCATGTGACGAACTTTCATGGATCATTCACGCCTGTGTAGACGCGCGGAACGATACAAGCCGAGACGCAGATCGAATCAAGTTGCACCGCACTCGTCACAAAAGGTCACCTCCCCCCCCCCCGTCCTGAGTCCTTGGTGAGATACATAACGTCAAAACAGTCCACACAAACCAACTTGTCTCCGTGGCGCAATCGGTTAGCGCGTTCGGCTGTTAACCGAAAGGTTGGTGGTTCAAGCCCACCCGGGGACGACCTACTTTTTTGCATTTCGTCCAAAATATTTGCACACAAGCGAGAAAAAAGTTAGATGTTCCCACACCGGGAATTGAACCCGGGCCGTCTGGGTGAAAACCAGAAATCCTAACCACTAGACCATATGGGACTTGTACAATCGCAACAGTGGCTATAC